TACGAGCAAACTCCGAACGTGCCAACTCGACTTTGCCCTGCCGGATGAGTTGGCGGGGCGAGTTGGGCATAAACGTTGTAAGCCCAACGAACATAATGATGCCCCACGGTATCTGGACACCTAGTGGCAGACGCCACTGTTGCGGTCCATATGGAGCATAACTGCAGGCGAAGCCCACCCAATTCGACACCATAGTGCCGAAAGATATACCTGACAACGTGCATCAGCTGCTATGATACAATTCGTTACGAGATCAAGTCTACACTTACCACACCCAGAGATGCCGCCTATCATCCCTCGTGACTGAGGCGCGGAGATCTCGCTCAGATATATAGGCACTGTCGAAACCAGGCCTCCAACGGCGAGACCCGCCAGGACACGACCAGCTAGAAACATTCCCATGTTGATGCTAGCTGTCTGTATCACGGTACCTATGGTCACAATGATACACATGAGCTGCATGAACCGAATGCGTCCCAATTGGTCACCGATGAGAGTCTGCAATATCGCACCTCCCGCCTCGCCAGCAATATAAACTGCCACCACGGCTCCAGTGATTGCTTTCGTCGGATGGTCCATATAGTCGAGGAATGATTGATGGGCGATCGTAGTTGTTGCGATACCTGTGTCGAAGCCCTACTCTGTCAGATGACGCAATTGTATTGGGGACTCAGACTCACGAAGAGAAATGTCCCTATCGCCGCGAAGAGGGCGATGCCCAAAGTGTATGAGTCCGCCGCCATGTTCGCTCAGATAATTCGAAAAGCTCGCCAATTAGAAGCAGTAGAGAAGATTGACTTCAAATGTGAGTAGACAAATACGAACTTCAAGCAGGGGCGAGAGAAAAGACCTCCATGGCCCAGGAAGTTGTTACCCGGTTAGTTGCTGACAGATCACCGTTTTTCTGTCCATACGTGGCAGTTCGTGTGATCCTCATTGTTGCACTAGTCGACGGATTTGCGGGGTTCGGGCGCTAGAAACGTTGGACATGGTGAATCGGTACGTCCGTATTGCCGATGTGATATTGAAGGATCAGCCAATCAAAGAATCTGTTCGAGCTTTAGCGCTGTCTCTGATTGGTCAAGACAGCACGTGAGTGACAAAAGAGGTACCTACGACGCACAGCGAGTGCTGATTAGTCAGATATGCCGATCATCGGCTCCTTGACCTCGAGACGCGTTGGTAGGATGCACTAGTACTTATTACATTTAGGACAAGCATGTCCCCTTTCATAGCAGCCAGGTCCATGTCGTTCACACTTGAGGTGTCTGTGCCCACTACCTGGTGGGTCCTGGTCACAACCTCTTCGGAGCTTTCTTGGCCATAGATCTCAAGACACACAGCAAGAGGCCAAAAGGTAGATAGCAAGAGAGTTTGGATTATTAATCAATACGTGTTATCAAGAATGCCGCCAAGCCTTGCTTGCTTACCTAACCTTGTTTATCCACTCACAACGCTTCCTTTTGTATCACTTTTGGACGGCAGTCCATGTCCATGTCCATATTTGTCTATCACTTTACGGGTCACTACTTTGTAGTTCGAGTCAACAATCAGAAAACCGTTATCAAGAATAGCATCCAGCCAAGCGACATACTGTGTCATCATCTGTGCTGAAAAGATAACGAAGCTGGAGCTCTCTCTTTCTATCTATGTTACCGGAGATCAATGCTTCTAGATTGGATATAAAGGTCTTCCTCATTAGTAGCTGCTCGCTGAAAATAGAGCGATTTTTTACGTAGAATCAGATGTGGTACCAACCGAATCTGGATACACACTTCCCAGCAAATTTTTCCGGCGGGTCTTTTCGTGTAGCAACGAAAAACCACATTCCATACGAATCTATTATAGTTTCCCCTTTGTAGTCCTGTAAATACCATTTACATAAGTAAATGATGAAGGCCAGAATTCTCAGCCCTGTTCTTCGCCTTACGGAATCGACGGCACGAAAATAGTGTGAACATATATATACTTCACAATATCCCTTGTGGCAACATTTTCACCTCACAATAAGAGACCGAACGAGCGGCTCCTGACTATATGATACCAGGCTCCAACTTGCTACGCGCCGATACATCCTAATTTTGCGTTGGGTGCTACTCTACTGCATTGAAGTTCCTTCAAAACAATAGATGGCAACGTGCGTTTCTTGCCGATCCGGGGTTATCGTGTAAAAAGAAGCCAATGAGGATTTGTGGTAAGTCGCAAGCCGCACGGAGGCTTCCTAACACGCGATCCGTATGTGCTGTATGTAACCACAATATAAATGAGCAACTTTCTTCCTGCATTCCTTCAATTTTGAATTTGATGTATGGTGCGGGTATTTGAGCATGTTTCTAAGAGAGTGTGTCCTGTGGCGAACAAGTGTCACCAAGACGGATAAGAAGACAGCACCGGCAAGACATCCACCCATATATAAAGCAGCTTCCCAGATGTCACTTTAACTAACGTGAATGCGTCGAGTCTATCCATCATGTATCTGAACAAACTTCTCTGCAAGGCCCTCGGCGCCCTCACAGTCTTCGCCATCAACATCCCCGCTCAATCTACGACAAACAGCACCCAGAAGCCCCTCCGCGTTGGCGTTCTCTACGAAAATGTCCAACTAAGCAACCTCTCCGGCCTCGATGTCCTTGGTTTTCAGACGCCTGAGATTGTGGCTGTCAAGGTGCAGATCAACCCCGATTTCGAACCACTCCTAAAATACACAACCCCCATGGACTTTCTATATATCTCTTCTCTCAACGCGACAACGATTACCCATAGCATGTATGTCGAGCCGACGCACACCTACGGAAACGCGCCTGTGGACCTCGATATTTTGTTGATCGGCGGCCCAGATTCTGAGGCTGTGAAGGAAGAGAGTTTGGAATATATGCGCCAGGCAAGTAAGAATACAAAGATGATCCTGACGACCTGCTCTGATGCTATGTGGTTGGCCAAGGGTGGCGTATTAGATGGAAAGAAGGCAACGACCAACAGAGTTACGTTGGGCTCCGCGGGCACGAAGTGGCTGAAGGTAGATTGGCTAGACCAACGGTGGGTCATTGAGGATGGGCTTTTCGGAGGCGCACAAAGTTGGACCGCTGGCGGCGCTGGACGTGCCAAGTTTTTTTATGTCAATCTCATGGTAACAAAGTTGACAACTGCAGGTATTGACATTCGCCGATCGCTCGTTCAATAAGAAACTAGTGGAGATAAGTTGTCTGGGACTCGATTATTCGTACAAGAACCGCAGTCAGTTCTACAACGAACCCTTGGAGATAATCACAGTCAATGGTCGCTAGAGTGGCGATTCTAGTGTGGTGGGCGTACGCAAACGATAGGCGGTAGAGTGCTTCTACAGTGGAAACGAGTATGGACAAGTGCAAATTCATGTGTAGTAGATGATGAGTCATGAGCGTTTCCAGCCCAGGATAGAGTGTTGGGGTGTGTTTTGCAAGTTGCAAACCTCTTCCTTGACTGAGTCGTCTATATCTGTCGAAGCGTGTGCAAGGAGGATCCCTATCTAGTCTGCTGGTTCATGGGAAACAGCGTGTTGTACGATTAGGTAAAAAGTTTACGGCGTTCCCTGGGCTTCGAACGCAAGGTCTTTTTCTGCAGGATGTAGAGGTGTTTGTATGATCAAGGTGCGTTCAAAGCATCCTCCCACTTCGTCGACCATGCCGTGAACTCATCGTCTGTACCCGTCCAACTCTGCTTCACCAGACTAGCAGCACTCTTCGCTTCTCCGCAACACTTGTCCAGCATCGTCTTCGCTTCGTCTTCGTCGAGATCGTAGAATGCGCTCGCCAGATCGTCCACCTGCTCCGGTATCGACTTCATCAACTTCATCAGCTCTTCCAGCGTCGCCATAGGATCCTTTTGCGCCTCGCCATTCGCCGCTCCCGCCGGTGCAGAGCCCGGAAAGGTCTTCAGCCGCCTCTTGATCAGCGCCTGGTACAGCACGCCAACCATCTTGAGCTTCTTAACACCCTTATCCAGCACCTCTTTCAGCTCCTTGTCCCCCTTCCCGAGCTTATTCGCTGCCCCAAACATTTCATCTTCATCCCCGAACTCTCCATCACTGCCCTCCGCCTCATCGTCTTCTTCATCTACATCCTCACCCCACTCCTTCAGCTCCTCCACCGCATCTAACAGCACGCTCCTCCACTCCTCCGCCTTGCGCACTACCAGTCCCGCGATTCCACCATCACAAAGTTTGACCAGCGCATCGCACGCCTCCCAGACAACCCCTGTCGCAGCAAGCACATCCTGCCTCTCGCCCTCTGTCAGCCCCACATCTTTTCCCTTGGCCTTTGCTGCCCCGTCGCTCTCCTCCAATTTCTTCCTCTTCTCCGCAAGCCGCGCAACACATCCCACCACCTCTCCCCACGCGCCCAGCAACCTCCGCACCTGAACCTTGACCTCTCCCTGCATAAGCCCGCCGAGCCCGCCCTCCGCGACCGCAGCCCCGACCAACCCCGTCAGTGGACCCGAGCTCACATCCCCGATCTTTGTGATTATCGCGCTGGGTGTGAGCGGCGGCGTAAGGAGGAGCAGCGAGAGCGTCGTCGTGTGCGATTTCAGCAGCGCGGTGCAGGCCTTGAGGGCCTGGAGGGGGTTTGGCGGGGGCGGGATGGAGGCGTCGGTCGTGGAGGCGGGGGAAAGCGAGGACTGGAAGTGGGTGAGGAGGGTGAGGGTTGTGGAGGTGATGTCGAGGAGGGCGCGGAGGGAGGCGGGTTTGGGTGCCATGGTGTGAGTTGGAAACGAGAAAACGACCAGAGGCGATGATGTCGTTTGCTATTCGAGGGAGAGACCCGTTTGTAAAGAGAGAAGCTCAGTGGTTTGTAGTGTTGTCGCACGAGCGTTTGTCTGAGCAAATAGACCCTTGAGTCAAAAAATGTTGGCGGGGAAGTGCGCTATCGATAAGCCGTCCACGACCCGCTCTGCCCTCCAACACCCTCACCCTCCAAAAAGCCAAAAAAGAATCTCCCGAAGACCACTCTGAGAGCGGACGATAGTGATGAGAGTGGGACTCGAACCCACGCCACTTTCGTGACCAGGAATAGTGATTCAGTATCCTGAACCTGGCGCCATAACCTGGGGCTATATTAGTATGTGAAGGAAGAGCCATGATTCGTCTAACTCACCAACTCGGCCATCTCACCGATGGATGATTTGATGACGTCAATGCAAAATCTGAACCATATATACCTGAAAAATCTGCTCCCGGGAGACGCTCTGTCGTGGGCTATGGTGGTATACCTCCCAATGCCAGCCCACCAAACTCATAGTGGGGTACCGAGCTACCAGACGAATTTTTTTCTTGATATCCCTTTTCTTCCTGGAGTTACCCCACCGCTGGTTGAATACACTTCATTACTAACAAAATATTGCAGTGGAGGCAGGTAAACCCTTCCCCGGTATTGCCTTCACAATATTTAAGAAGAGGTAATGACATTTCAGAACTGGAGATAACTTACGCTGAGTGATAAATAGTAGTTAGACGTTAATTATAGGACTTGCCCATTCAAAGTCAGTAAACACTTTAAACAACCTCACATACATCATGTTGGATGTGTGCTGATATGATACAAATACTCAATACGCACTGAGCCTTACTCTTATGTTTTTGAATGCTGAAAACGTCAGGGAAGTTATATCATGTTCATCCTTATCTAACCGGCTACAAACCCCCTTGGACAGCAAGATGTTCGTGACGGGTTAATATGTATAAACCCTTTCCTTCTACTTGCGCTATGCATGTAAGCAGGCGGATTTAGTGGATAACCTTTCCAACTTTCTCTCAGCATGAACACCCAGAAAACCAAAACACAAACACCATGTCAAACAGCCACGTTTCCTCCCCAGCTGGCTATTGCCAGTCCCATTCCAGGGTTCGCTTCGGAGCAGCAGCTCATGAGATACCCCAACCTAAAGGTCGTCCAAGCCTTCAACAAACCGTCAGTGATAGCCATTGCTGTGCTGACTTGAATGAATAGCTGGCTGTTGCATGCCTGTAGAACTTCTACGGCTACACAATCTTCTTTCATGACACCGTTTCTGGAGGTGCGCGGAGCGTTCCTTCCTGACGTGGCGCGAGTGATCGCTCCTTCCTCCAGTTGCGGTTGACCACCCACTCGCCCGCACCTCATTCATCCACGCGCGCCGTTAGTCCTCGTGCTCTCCCTTGTCTTATCTCTTCAATGCTCCCTTCTCTTCCATCTCCTAGTCTTCTACTACTTCTTGCCCTGGTCCGCGTTTTCATATCTTTATCCGCAATAGTGTGACGTCCTGCGAGGGACACACGCCCCTCCCACAAGCACAAGACCAATAAGGAAGCCGCACCCGCACCCGCACCCGCATCCCGGTTTTCGAAGAAACCAAAAGCCCTGACCTGATCGGCGCTGCAAAGGTTGGAAGCGCCACGACGCGGTTCGCCTTGATGCCTTAGAGCAGCCCCGCTCCATCTGTGCTGATCGCAGCGCCATCACCAACGGCGCACACTGGTTGACCAGTCCCACTAATCCCACATACCCACAACAAGCTCACTACCCACGTCGGCCACTTTGTATTCCAAGACCCCGGACTGTCTCCAACATCAAGGAGGGACGAACGAACTCCAAGGACAAAAGGACATCCAACTACGGCATCAGGGCGCAACACAGTGCCCGGAGAGAAGCTCTCAACACTGCATCACCCCAGGACGAAGGAACGTAGTATCCACACCGTTGACCCATAACCACACCTCCATGGAAGCCAAGCAATCCCAGCTTATCATCGCCTCCCGCCGTCTCATCCAGATCTTCCAAGTATCAGCCTCTAAGAGCAGCAACCTACCCCTCTCCCTCAACCGTACCACGCGTCAACCAAAGACCCAGCAAGGAAATGCCTGGCTCTGTCTTGTCGTACCACCGCACCGAACTCAGAGTGAGGTACCATCGACCAGCGGTATAAAGCACGAGCAGGAGATCTTGCAAGGCAAGACAGGCAGGTAAACCCTCCCTCGAGATCCCAGTCACAGCACCGCGGACGAGAGCTTCAGATTGGATGATTGAAGCATACAGATGACGTGATATTGGTGGAGGAATGGCATATAAGTTCAGCGGTGCCATCAAGTAGATTGGAACTAGGATCACGTTGCAGAGAGGCGAGACAAGAACCCCTGGGAGAGCAGGTATATTTAGATTGGGGGAATGTATAGCGAGACGAGACGGATGGCGAAGCTGGAGGCCTGTTGGCTCCGTGAGCCGATTCTGTACATGTGGTGCTGAAGACTGATGAGTGGTCAATATACATATACGTCTTACACCAACACGCGACCATAGATGTGGTGAGTTTGAAAAGTGACGAGCAGGACGATGCAAGATGGCGGGAAGCAACCAACGGCTGGCTCCGCACAAGCAAAGCGAATCACGCAAAACCCGAGCCCGCGGTGGTTCGAGACGAACCGGATTCGAAGCAGGGATACCCACACCTGAGGGGCGAAACATCGAACGAGGTGGACCCCAACACGAAAGACGTCGGACAGCTGACAGCGTGCGTGCGTGCCCCTCGTCGACGCCAGGCTCTCGATTCGCGCCTACGGCAAGTCACCTCGGTGCAAGCAAGCCCACTCCGGGCTCGAATCGCAGCGGGAGGAGAAACATAGCAGCAGGGCGAGGGTTGCTTTTGGTGAGAAATGGCGCAAGTCGTCTCTCGACCAGGCGATTGGATACGAGGGCGATCCTTCCGCGCTGGTGGTTCAGCTTACACTGGGCTACAGCGATGTGAAACGTAAGGCGGGAGAGGCGAATGGTGAGGCTGTGGAGCGTCCGCGTTTCGCGTTGCTGCACCACTGTACGCTGTACGCTAAGCTATCGATAGCCAAGATGACGCAAATGAGTATGCATCCAAACAAACAGAGGTGCAGATGGAGCGGCGCGTTCCTCGTCATTCCCAGAGAGCGACTTCTATTTAGGGGTGATACGAAGGGCGCTCGCGTGATGAAGCGTGCGGCTGCAGCATCCGCACAAACGCAGGGCAGGTCAGCACGTCGCGTGGGCTTTGTTTACCACAGACCGCCAGGCGAACAGGGGCGACGCGTGTGCGGTTCGATCGAGGCGGTGCGGTTCGGGAGCAATTTGCTGCTCCGGGGCAGATGGTCATCTCGTCTTCCATCGCACGGGGACGGGAGGGCACCCGCAGCCTGGTCTGGACGGCTTTCGTCAGCACCAGTCAATTTGACAGTTTCCATGACTTTGAGCTTTACGAGAGGCGCGAAATTGCATCGCGATGACACTGTGGCCGTGCGTGCGTGGAGCGGCGACCGCACCGTTCTCTGTGGGCCGCGTTTCAATTTCGGGAGCGGCTGTCAGCTAGGATTATACAAAGAGCGGCCGGAGGATAGGACTCCAGAGCCCAGAAGCCGTGGATGTGCATAGTCGTCGGCACATAGGCTGTCTGCAATCCTCCCGTCAATAGCGCTGGAGTCGACATGAGAGCTCTCACCACATGCTGACGCAGCGAGCGCAGAGCACCACCCACGGCGAGCAGTGGGTGCGGATGCTTGGTGGATGTTGGCGGCAGCTGCAGCTGCAGGGAAAGGCTTGCAGGCCGGAAGTGTGGCCGATGGGTGCTTAATTAACACGAACGCAGGGCGCTAAGTGGTGGCTGTTGGCTTGCTTGGAGGCTCGCTGAGATGAGCAACAGGGATTCTGAGGTGCAGACAGTTGAGGCAAGACGTCACAGCGTCCAACTGACTGCGTGCGGTGTCGCAACGGAGCATGATGGTCGACGGCATTATTCGGTTGAGGGGTCGAGGGACGGGTGACAGTGGTCGGTCCAGGGGCTGTGGAAAGGGGCCCATGGCTTCGGTACGCGGATCAGCGCGATTGGATCCTTTAGCGGGCCGGCTGCAAGGTACCAGGGCGCCGCCCGCTCACAAAGTGCCACGAAGGTTGTCGAAGGCGAGCTCGCTGCCGAGTCGGCGAGGGGTTGGTGGTCTGCAGAAGACGATTCGGTTGCCTCTGCGCTCTGCACGCGCCCGGCCGTCTTTCGAAACAGCGGCATGCCCGGCTGCGACCGCCTAGCGCCCTCTTCGGCGGAGCCCTGTTTCCATGTCGCAGCTCCTCCGCGCTACCCCATCACACGCTGTCGTGCGCCATCGTAGAGTCGTGAGGCCGCAGCACTGAGCAGAGACCAGCCGCACGCACGCCCTGGGCGCGTCGCGGCATCGGGCACCTGGCCCACCGACGCCTTCCCTGCAGACGCGGTGCTGCCTGTGCCTGTGCCTGTGCCTGTGCCTGTGCCTGTGCCTGCCCTGTCACCTTCCCCCAGCACGTCGCCTTGCCCACGCCATCCAGCCAAACTGCCCATCACACGGTCCCAACTCTCCCCGCCGACGCCTTCGCCCTCATTCCGCTCCTTACCCTCACCCTCACGCCCGAGCAGCGCCCAGGCGACCACGCTCCCTAGCAACCCACGCTCTTTTCCATCCTCGCCCTAACCGCACATTCTCTTCGTCGTCGGCCTCCCGCCCCCGCTGCATCGCCTTCGAATTCGCCCCGTCTGCCCGTCGCCCAACTCCTTTCGATCCGCGCCCGTCGCATCCACCCCGCGCATTCATTCCTTGCATCCAAACACACCCGCGAGCCCTCCACATTCATTCTCGGCTCTCGCACCTCCGCTCGCACCTCGGTTGCTGCTGCATGGAGCGTGCGTCTGGCCCATAAGCTCGCAGCTACGCTACACTTTACGACGCCTGCACACGACATATTGGCCAAAAGAGAGTAAACCCTGCTGTAGTCATCGAGTACGTCATCCGAACAAGCCCATCTGCTGTTATTGTTGTTGTTGTGGGCGGGTGCAACGCGAGGAATGGGAGAATAATTTCGAGACATCCGCTAATTGCACCTGCCATAGACCCCACCACGCGCTCTTGCCGTGCTGGTATCCGACGGACACCCGCCTCGCTCTTGCCCTGCAAACGGGCGGTGAGTCCCGTACAGCGCAGCCTAGTCTCACGATACCCATTATAAGCAGCCACGGAAATCAGTGAGTCTCTTGCAACATGGACTCCACTCCGGTGCATGCGAGCTATCGCTCCATGCTGCGGTGCTTCACCATGCCTCGTAACATCTCTAACAAGATGCAGGGCGCCATGAATCGCTTCCTGAACCGGAGAAAA